AAAACTTATAAATGTAAAAAATTTAATTTCACACGTTTTTTTTTATTACCCGTCTTGGTTTTTTTAGGGCGGTCGTGATGTATATTTTATATATATATATATAATATATTTTATATATATTTAAACTATTATTCTTAAATGATTGATAGATGTCAATTATTATAAATATATATTTAGTTAGTAATAATATTGATTTTTGTTGATATTGATTTTTATATGATAATCGGCGCGGAAGGTTTTGTAATAACAAAAAAAAAACGAATGTTTTTGTATTCATTATTAAAATTATGACAAGATTGTTGGAATTAATAAAATTAGGAGAATATTTTATAAAAATTATAAGTTTGATAAATCATTTTGTTATAATTATGAAATAAAGTAGAATAAATAGTAAAAATATATTATATAATCGGAGGAATTAAATATATATATATATAATTAAATACTATTAGAGAGTTATTTTAGAGTCATATAAATTTATAATAAAATTAGAGTTATTTTAATGACAATTGTCACTTGCAAATTATATTTTTACCCATTTGCTTAAAAAAATTGAAAAAAGTTCATAAATGACGATTATGACAATTGTCACTTTCCTATGGTACATTCAACGATATTTTAATTTAGTTTGCAGAATATATTTTTACCCATTTGTCTAAAAAAAATCGAAAAATGTTAAAAAATGACGATTATAATAATTGTCACTTTCCTATGGTACAACTTCACTTAAATTTTAATTTAACATGTTTACAAAATATATTTTTACCGATTTGCCTTAAAAAAGTTCAAAAATGACGATTATGACAATTGTCACTTTACTATGGTACATCTTCAATGAAATTTTAATTTAACATGTTTGCAAATTATATTTTTACCCATTTGCCTTAAAAAAATTGAAAAAAGTTCATATTGTCACTTTCCTATGGTGAAATTTTATTTTAACATGTTAGCAATACTTATTTTAGCCCATTTGCGTCAAAAAAACTTTAAAAACAACGATTATGACAATTGTCACTTATCAATGGTACATCTTCAATGAAATTTTAATTTAACATGTTTACAAAATATATTTTTACCCATTTGCCTTAAAAAAAGTTCAAAAATGACGATTATGACAATTGTCACTTTCCTATGGTACATCTTCAGTGAAATTTTAATTTAACATGTTTACAAAATATATTTTTACCCATTTGCCTTAAAAAAATTCAAAAATGACGATTATGACAAGTGTCACTTTCCTATGGTACATCTTCAATGAAATTTTATTTTAACATGTTTGCTACCCATTTGTCTAAAAAAAGTTCAAAAATGACGATTATGACAATTGTCACTTTCCTATAGAACATCTTCACTGAAATTTTAATTTATGTTTGCAAAATATATTTTTACACATTGGCCTAAAAAAAAACTTCAAGTCTGAGTCGAAAAAAACAACCAAGCTTCAAGTCTGAGTCGAAAAAAACAACCAAACTTCAAGTCTGAGTCGAAAAAACGACCCATATTTTGGGTCGAGGTCGTTTTTTTCGGCTTGGACTCAGGTTGAGGTTGAAAAAAACGACCCATATTTTGGGTCGAGGTCGTTTTTTCGGCTTGGACTCGGGTCGAGGTCGAAAAAACGACCCATATTTTGGGTCGAGGTCGTTTTTTCGTCTTGAAGTCGGGTCGAGGTCGAAAAATACGACCCAAAATTAGCAGCTCTCTTCGAGCCGACTTGGCTAAGCCGATTAACAACACTAAGCCATTGATCTTTGCCACATCTCCAGATCTTGCAGAATTTCCTCTTGAGAAATATTATCTGAATTATTTTCTTTTTTCCGTTTATATACATGAAGCTTATTCAAAAACAATCGAATACTGAATTATTTGAACTAGATTTTTTGACCGAATATGAAAATTTACTATTCGTAATTACACAAATAAAATAATAGTTAATTATTTGATTTGTAACAAATCGATTTGTGTTTGAATAGGCCTAATATACAAATCTCATACTAATCGTTCTCATTTAGTACTTTCATTGGATAATTAAACTATAAATATTGATACTTGAATTTTAAAATCTAAGAATTGGAATATTTCGCTTTATTTTTGATAAAGTGTCTATGAGTGGTCTTATTTTATAAAGCACAGAACAGACTCTTAAAAATATCAGATATATAAATTTTATATCTTTACATATCTTGCAGTCATTTAATATGCTACTTATGTAATTCTTATGTGAAACTCAATATAACCTAGCACGAGGGAGCTTCACGATGGACATAGTGGCGTAGCTACGGGAGGGGGGTTTCGGGTTTGGACCCCCCCCCCCCCCCCCAGAGCAAAATTATACGTTCAAAATCTCAAGTGACTATATCAAATAAATAGCATGAATATTTATATTTTGTTATTTATAAATTGTTTACAATAGTTTATATAAAATTTATGTTTTGTTATATATAAAAATTTTTTAACATTTATAATATTTTAATCTATAATTTAAACGTGTTATATAATACTACTAATTATTAAATATATCATTTATAAAGCAATTTATATCATTTATAATCAGCAATTTATATCATTTATAATCAGCAATTTATATGTGTAATACTAATAGTTATAAAGTATATAACTTATAATTAAGGCAATATAATATATATATTTTAAATAATCGCTTTTTATTTGTAAATTCATTTCTATTAAAGTTATGTCGAAATGTATTTTATTTAAAATTAGTGTTGTTAATGGCTCTATTTAAGCCGATATGGCTAACTCAATATATTAGCCAGAAAATTTTGCTCATGGATGATACAAAGGTTTAGACATTGAAATCTCTAGGCTTGATCAATATTTATTTGGCTAAAATATTGAGTTAGCTGTTTGTAAAAATCGGCTCAAATCGAGCCGTTTAACAACACTAATTAAAATTATCAATAATTTTAGGACTTTTATATTATAAGAAAAACAAATATGATTTTTAAAATAAACCAAGAAAAGCCTGGGGAGGGGCGAAGCCCCCCAGTCTTTTATATGTATAAACCCCTTCTAAGGAAAATTCCTAGCTACGACACTGGATGGACATAAAATGTAATGTTCTAAAAAGGTTTAAAATTGTAAGAATAATGGTTTGTTTGGATTATTTTATAAAGAATAAATATTTGATTGATTATACAAATTAATTACAAACTATCTCCCAAAAATTTATTTAAAAGCATTTTCTTAGCTTTAAGAATGAGGACTATTTTATTTCCAGTTATTTATTTTGAGAATTTTATTTTCTTTCAATAGCTTGGCTTTCCTGAAAAATGGGTATAATAAATTTATTTTTCTCATCAAAATCAAATAATTCTTCTGTATCCATAGTGATTATGTTAATTTGTTAGATTTGTTATAAATATATTGATTACATTATAATTTGCCATTGAATGTACATAGAGATCTGCAATTCCTGATTAGGCTAAAATCTACAATGCGTGATCCATGGGTTGGGTAACATATTTATTTGGTCTGGGCCGGGAAAAAATTAAACCAAGCTGAGAGTAAGTACAAAAAGTAGAGATGCCCGGGGCGCTTAATAGAGATTATAAAAAAATACTTTTTTAAACCGAAATTTGTTAAATAATATGTTTAATTTAGCTTATAATTTTAATGATTAAATTGTCATTCATAAATACGATTTAATTTTTCTACGTTAGTTTTCTATATTTGCTTTTTTGCTTATAAAACTTGATTTTGTAATAGGCAAATTTTTTTAAATCCATCTTTTACTTTGTCTAAAAATTTCATAGTAAATAAAAATACTAATTAGAGGGCTGCAATGCCCGGGGGTTAAGTTAGGTAATGTCTGATTTTTTTTATATTTTGGTTAGGCAAAAAAATTGATAATGCTGATATATAGAAGAGTAAGTAGTGTTTTTAATTTAAACCCCCCCCCCTCCCTCCCCCTCATCTCATTGGGTTGGTGCCTAGAAATAAAATTAAACCATAATATAAATTTTAATTCCTTTATTAAACTATTAATTTAAATTAACATAAAAGGAAAAGTAACAAAAAGAAAAAGATTAACCCTGTATTGCATACTGTGTATCTCAAGCCACATACCACAAATTATATAATAAATATTTTATAAATAAATTTTAAATCAATTGCATGGTGTGTATTTGAAGCCATATTCTATATCTTCGATTGGAATTTTAATTTGGGCCACGTGATCTATTATTTATTTTTAATTTCGCATTTTATTAAACCCTATTTTTAAAAATGGCTATTTTTTTATAAAATTTTTCTTCTCAATTTTCTACACATCGTAAAAGGATAAATAATATATTTGACAAATTTCAAAACATTAAAATTAGATAAATAAAAGGTAAAAATTAATGTTTATGAAATTATTTTATATATATTTATTATTTTTGATAATTATATTTTGTAATAATCATACGTTGCTTTAAAGACACATTATGCAAATAAGGTATTTTATTTGAGTTTTATATTTTTAGAATTATGAATTGTGGTACCATACCTAATGATAGTGAAGATTCAAATTTAAGTGAATCGTCTGATGAGGAGTTTCTGTCAACCCAAAATAATGATTTAGGTATATTTAAAATGTATGCTCTTATATAATCTATAAATATCTAGATTTCAATGAGAGTGATGAATCGGAAGAGGATGAAAATATAAATAATGAAAAAGGAATCGTGAGAAAAATGATTTGGAAAAATTGCTTAACTAATTTACCATTAGTTATTCCAAAGTGGAAAGGAGAAAACCCAACGGTTGATAAAGTAAAAAAACCAATGGATTATTATAATACATATCTCAATGATTTATTACCTCTAATTGTTTACGAATCAAATTTATATGCAATTCAATGTAATTCCAACAAACCTTTGAATTTATCGATAGATGAATTAGAAAAATTTATAGGAATTATTTTTTACATGTCAATTATTAAACTTCCCAGAGCACGTCTCTACTGGGCCACCAATACAAGACAGGCCAAGGTGGCTGATGTCATGACCCTAAATCGCTGGGAACAAATCAAATCATTCATTCATATAAATGATAATGACAAATTTATTCCACTTGGAAGTGAGGGCCATGACCCACTTCATAAAATTAGACCCTTGATAACTATAACCAATAATATACTAAAATCTTTATCGATAGGGGAAAATATTTGCGTAGATGAGCAAATAATTCCATACAAAGGGATGAGCAGATTAAAGCAATATAACCCCCAAAAGCCCAAAAAATGGGGCTATAAAGTCTTTCTACTATGCGGAGATGATGGCCTTCTCCATAATTTTGAAGTATACTCTGGGAAAATACTACCAGCGGAAGGATTGCCTGATGTTGGAGCAAGTGGCAATGCTGTGCTACGTTTAATTTCTTATATACCACAGCAAATTAATTATAAATTATTTTTTGATAACTGGTTTTGTTCACCAAATTTGCAAGTCGTACTCGCTCAAAGAGGGATATTTTGCGCGGCCACGGTCAGAGGTAATCGACTACCAAATATCAACTTCCCAACAGATAAGGAGTTGAAAAAAAAAGGACGAGGATTTTTTGTTTCAAAAAAAACAATAATAAACGGGGTTGAATTAAATTCAGTGAAGTGGCACGACAATCGTGCTGTGACCTTATTGAGCACTTTTGTAGGTGCACATCCTCTTATCGATTGCGAAAGATATGATAGAAAAAAAAAGGATAAAATAATGATAAAATGTCCAAACATTGTTAAAGTTTATAATAAATCAATGGGAGGTGTAGATCTTATGGATTCTTTACTTTCATTATATAGAATTCATACCAAATCAAGAAAATGGTACCATCGAATTTTATTTCATGTATTCGACATGTTACTTATAAATTCTTGGTTGCTATACAAACGGGATTATAATAGTATATCAATAGCAGGCAAGGATCGATTAAGTTTGTACAATTTCAAAATTTCGGTGGCGGAAGTCCTTTGCAAATATGGCAAATGCACTTCAAACAATATTCCAAAACGAAAATCAGTTCAAACTGGTTATCGGGAAAAATGTAAAAAAGGACCAGCTCAATATTTACCACTTCAAGAGGTTAGGAAAGACCTCACGGCTCATTGGCCAAAATATAATGATAAGAAGGGTAGATGTAAAATGCCAGGATGCTTATTTATAACAAAAGTATCTTGCAAAAAATGTGGTGTATATTTATGTTTTACGCCCACAAATAATTGTTTTATAGATTTTTATGAAAATTAAAATGTTTAAACCTTTAATATTTGTTATATTTAAATAAAATTTTATATATTTATAGTTTAAAGTACAATAAAAATTATTGTGGAAATAATTGAAATTTGTATCCTTAATTGCATAATGTGTATTTAAATCCACATACCGTTCATCTTCTAAGAAATTTAGAATTTTTTTTAAAAAAGTGACATAGTATCTAGAGAAATAAAAAATCTAGTTTGCCAAAAAAAAATTATTCTAACATAGTACATGCAATACAGGGTTAAAAAAGTAAAAGTATCTTTCTATTATAAAAAATTGTTTCTTTTATATAAAATTAACATCATACGATTATAACATAATAAATATCGCCGTAATCAAGAAATGAACGTTTTCGTATAACCTTAACCTTAATGTTATTTAATTTTTGGTATCAACTTTCCCATCATCTTAATTTTAAATAAATCGAGGGAGACTATATATCTCTAATGTTAAATTATTATTTATTTTATACATCATCGGGATTCGAACCACTGACTTAACGTTCGATAGACAAACGTTCTTTCCAGTCACCACCCTTCTATATTAAATTTTGTAATTCAATTTTTCTTATATATGAAACTATATTATGATAAAGTAATTTAAATATATCAATATTTATCTTTTTTATTGGAAGCTCCAGGCTTGGGAAAACAATTTCAAAATTATTATCGGTTGGCCAGGTTTGAGAAATTTTTTTTTAAATTATAATGGGTCGGGCTGGGCTTGAAAAATATTTTTATAATATTTTTTTTATTGGAAGTTGAAAAAAATTTCATAATTATTATCGGTTGGCCAGATTTAAGAAAAATTTTTTAAAATTATAATGGATTGGGCTGAGCTTGGAAAATAGTTTTATAAATTATTTTGGGCTTTCAAATTATTATCAGCTTGGACGATTGGGAATTTTTTTATTATTAATTATGGATCAGACATTGATTTTAAACAAATAAACCAAGTCCCATAAAATCTGATTTTGATTGTATTTTCAAATTCATTATGATTTTTTAAAATATTTTATTCCAGTTCTCAACTACTAAAATTATTATGATCTTTGGTTGGGGTTGGGGAAATTTTTTCAAAATTATTATGGCCTTGGACCTTGCTTTAGAATTTTTCAATATTAAATAATAGGCATAGATGATCAGTGATATTTTAACAAATATTATTAATATGGGTAAAGTAAAAGCTTTAAATATATTTTGACTCAAAATATAGCATCTAAACTTAGTTTTAATGGATTGGACCTGACCTGAAGGTAGGGGGTTATAAAGAATAAAAATTGGATATTATTTTCATATAACAGGTAACAACTATCATAAGAGTAAGGAGATAATTCCCATTCCCCGTCATTTTTGACGGAGTCAGCAATGCTGACTAACGGGATCTCTGGCACGCTTAGTTATATATTATATTGCCCTTCAAGAAAGAAGGAATGATAGATGAATCAGAAATTAAGAATATCTTATGAGCAGAGTTGTTAAAGTAGCGCGCTACTTTTTTAAAAAGTAGCTAAGTAGCTAGCTACTTAGTTACTTTAAAAAATATAATGAATGTAAGTATAAGCACGAAAATTTAAATATAATACCATAATTAATTATAATTTTTATGATTTATTATTTAATTTTGAAATTGAAATATATTTTCAATTTGTAATTAATATTTTCAATTTGTATTATAAACCTAAATCACCTGTTAATAATTTAAAATGGTATCGCATATGGATATCCAAATCGTTGAAAGTGATTCAGAGTCAGACAATGATATTAATGAAATGGAAGATACCAGGGAAAAAAATAATATTCATAGTCATAGCAATACTTTCCCATTCCCTAGATTTCAAAAATTTTTCAAGATAAATATTAATACAAAAACTGGCTTCAAATTTATATGTTTAAAATGTAAAAAAAATATTTCCTCAAATCAATCCAGTAGCTATAACCTCAAGAAACACCTAAAGGTAAATTATCATTTTTACATAAAATAATAATATTTGTTTTATAAGACTGTTCATGCTAATTGTTTTAAGAAAATTGAACAACATTAAATATATTTGACATAAGTTAATCCACATCCAAAAAGACTAATTCCATTCAGACAAAATTAATTAATAATACAAATGCTAATATTTCTCAGAAATTAACTGATAAAGTTATTGTGGATTTTATAATTGATACAGCTCAGCCAATGTCCTTGGTTGATAAACCATCATTTACTATGATGATTAAAACTTTATCACCTAATACAACTATTTTATGTCGCCAGACACTTGTGAATAAAATAGCAGATAAGTTTAAATTGATGAAAGATGCTTTAATAGTAGAATTATTAGAGATATCTCATATATGTACCACGGCAGATAGTTGGACACCTAACAGAAGGTAAACACTTATTTATATTTATAAATTGATCTGATTAAATATTTTTAGAGCTTATTTGGAAATCACAGGCCATTGGCTAGACCCTAGGACTTTAAAAAGAAGATCAGTAGCATTAGCCCTCAAAAGAATAATAGGATGCCAGACATACGATGTACTTGCAAATAAAATTATTGACGTCCACAAGTCTTTTAGGATTCATAATAAAGTTTGCAAGATGGTGACTGATAATGGGTCCAATTAGCTGAAGGCCTTCAGTATTAGAAATTAATTTTTAAAATATTTAGAGTAATAAAATTAAATCAAGTAATAGTTAAGTTATTAATTAAATTTTTCAATATTTATTTAAAAGTTGTTTAATATTTCACATTATATGTAGAATTTTTATTAACTAAATACATACATATTTTAGTAATATTATATCATAATTTATATCAAATTATAAAAAAATTAGTGAATTTAACTAATAAAATTTACAACAGAGATGGATTATTTCATTAGTTTTTATTGCATAGTGTCATTGAGCTTAACATTTAATATGATATGGTTATTGAATATTTCATGGATGATTAGATTTTTACTATATTTATTTCTTATTAATTAATATCCATCAATTTATATACAGTACAGGGAATTCAATGTATTCATTTGATAAAATATTTTTACTTAGTTACATCATAATTCCTGAGGTTAAAATTTAGAATAGCAACCTAATGATTTTACCACTCCATTTTTGATAAATATCACTACACATTTCTATTAAAAACGGGATGAATAATTTATTCTATTTAATATGAATATAGAATATTTGGTGAGGATAATGCTGAAGTGAGACACAGAGAAATTATTTAGTAAGGCAAAACTGATACTTTCTGATCGTCGCAATAGACTTGGGATAATATTGAAATGATTTTATTATTAAAATTCAACAAATTACCATAAATATTTAAAATTTATTACATAAATTTTTTTATAATCAAAATAACTATATTTTAATATTTATAAATGTTGATTTTTATATATTATTTACTATACAATTACATTATATGCAAAATAAAAATAGGAGCTAATTTTTTTGACAAATAGCGATAGCGGTAGCGCGCTACTTTTAAAAGTAGCGATTAACAACTCTGTTATGAGGTGTGATTCACAAATTTACTTCTTTTTCTCCTAAATTTTAATATTTTTATAAAATATATTTTAAGTATATTTAGTATTAGATATACAAACTAATTACCCCTCAACCCCGTCATTCTTGACGGGTTATTAACTAGTGACATAATAAATATCGTCTGATTGTAATCAACTTAAATCATTATTCAAAAATTTATTTAAACCAAAATTATTTTTAAATAACAAATCGTCTGATATTCACCAAATCTCAATTATATATCTTTTCTTAATACATCGTCGGCTAAATTAAATTTTTTTTTCTCTTTAGCTTTCACCTTTTCTGGTGGTAAGCTCCTTCAATATCTCTCTCCACTTTATGTTATTCATACTATCTCTTTTATCTAATTTATACTTCTTCATATTGGCTCTAACTTTATGGCCCCATTAAAGTTTTGGCCTTGCTCTTTTACGTTTGCCCATCACTTCCAAACTCTCAACCTTATTTCCTTCTCATTGTGTGCCCATACCACCTAAGTCTGTTCACCATTATTTTAGTCTTAATAGGCACTACCTTTAAACTTCCTACTATTATTGTACTTCGCACCTTATCCTTTCTTGATACCCGAGCAATCATCCTCAGCATTCTCATCTTCCATAGTTTGTAGACTTCTCTCGTCTGATTCAATTGGTTGGTCATGTTTTCGAACTATATAGAATAGTTGGTTGTACTATGGATGTAAATCTTTCCATTCGATTTATGACTCCAGATAAAGATCTCCACTTTAACCACCCTTGATTAATTTTACTCTTTATCTCTTTCTCTATTGTGCCGTGTTTGTATAGTGGAGCCCAAATATTTACAGCTTTCAATTACCGATATCTGCCATCCATTTATATCAATGCTCTCTGTTTCATCCCCTCTTATCACCATATACTCCGTCTTTTCACTATTTACTTTTAGTCCGTGCTTTTTTAGGATATTTATCCAACCAACTAATCTTTATATCATTTCATTTGGATTCGGCAAGTATCACAATATCATTTTCAAATATCATATTCCACGGGACTGTTTGTGGTATAGACTGTGCTAATACATAGATTACTGTTATGAAGAGAAGTGGGCTGAGAGCCGACGCTTGATAAACTCCCTCGGCAATGTGAAGCCTGTTGATTTATGGCCCATATACATATCCTGTACTATTTTTATATATTTTTCGGGAACCTTTCTGTGGCGTAGCGCATACCAGATAAGTTTTCTTGGGATTCTATCGAAGGCCTTTTTTAGATCGAGAAAGACTATGTGTAGCATTTTGTTCTTTTCTCTGTATTTTTCACTCATTTGCCTAATTGCGTGGATTGCATCAGTTGTTGATCTTCCAGTCATAAAGCCAAATTGAGTCTCTCCTATTTCGATTATGTCTCTTAACCAGGAACCCGGAGTGAACCGTAACGAGCCGTTAAACCATTATAAACCGTTATAAATATTTTAACTATAACCGAACCAATATAATAATTTTTTGAAGGAGTAAAAAAAAACCTTTATAAAAAACGATTAAACCGGTTTAAACCGGTTCAGTTTTTATATTTTAGAAATGGAAATAATTTGAATGTCCAAAATTATACAAACTTGCTCTTACTGGCTGTTCCCGCAACATAAGTTTCTGTAGAAAGGGCTTTTTCGGGGCTAAAATTTGTGTTATCGTCACAACGAACAAAAAGGAATCCATTTATATTAGAAAATATATTACTTATACGTTCAAATAATATATTTAAAAATGAGTTATCTTGAATCATATATTTTTTTTATATATAATTCATAGATGCTTTTAATAAAAATAAATTAGAAGATGGTGTTGTTTCAATAAAAAAAATTTCTAACCGTAATGAACCTTTATAAACCTTTATAATTAGCTGAACCGAACCGAACCTTTATAAATTTCTTCTTAAGAACCGTAACCAAAACGTAACTGTTGTAATGTATACTTTTTTAATGTATTTTTATTTGAAAAAGTGATTTATTTTAACAGATGTATTAATTTTTATGTAAATGACTGATTATATTTATTACATTAACGAAATTGTAAAAATCACTTTTTCATTTTTTATAAACTTTTGATTGAATTTAATTTTATAATAATAAAAAAAATATAAAGAGAAAGTTAACAAAATTTTATCTCAGAGTATCGCCATCAGAGGCGATACTCTTATTCCAATAAAATACATATGTTAAATTAAATAAAATTTCAATAATTATATCTGAATCCCCATTAATTATAAAACGATGTAGATTTTTTTATTCAATTTATGAAGATTTATTCTTTTTATTTGATAAATATGTAACTAACCATTATAATTTTTTACATACTGAACCGTAACCAAACTGAACCGTTATAAATAACGGTTCGGGTCCCTGCTCTTAACCTTTTTCTAGGATTCTTTCGTAAAGTTTAAGACAGTGTGACATTAGTTTTATGCCCCTGTAATTTTGACAATTGTGTGGATCCCCTTTATATTTGAAGATAGGAACTAGATAGCTCTGCCTCATTTTTGAGGAATCTCTTCATTCCCCAATATTTTATTGTACCGATTTGTCAGGAAATGTATTCCATCATCTCCTAGTCCTTTAAGGCTTTCTATTGGAATATCATTTGGACCCCTAGCTTTGTTGTTTTTCATATGCTAGAGGCATGTAATTATTTCTTGTTCTGTTATTGGCTGTATAAGGTTTTGACATGGGGAGTGTTCATCTAGATGTAGTATGGGGATTAAAGTTGAGAAGCCTCTAAAAATATTCTTTCCATCTATTCATTATTTCTTTCTCCTTTATTATCGATTTCCCATCTTTATTTTTGATTACTTTCGGAGCTCCGTTTCTATCCCTAGAATTCTTTCCACGCTGTTTGACTAATCTGTATATTTTTTTGCCCTTCTTTGGTATATAGTTCTATACATGTCATCGTATGCAATAGCTTTGGCCCTAGCCACCGCCTTTGTAGCTATTCTCTTGGATTTTTTGTATCTTGTCTTGTCATCTGGGTTTTTGGATTTGTATCATATTTTATATAGGGCTTTTTTCTCCTGTATAGTGGTTTGTATCTCTTCATTCCACCACCATAGTTATTTATATGATTTATTGACTCCCCTTGTCAAGCCTAATGTCGATTTGGCAGTGTCTATTAATCTGGAAGAAAGGTCTGCCCACATTTTTTCACTGACTTGTGAGGAATCTATTGTTTCAATGTTTGTATTGATTCAAAAGCATCTGGCCTTGATTTTAATCTACCCCATTTGATGCATGGTTCAAGTTTATCTTGTTTTGAGTGGATTTATTTGTGATGTGTAAATCCATGACTAGTAGCTTGTGTTGCGCGTCAGTATCTTCTCCTGGGATGACTTTGCAGTCTATTACATCTTTTAATCATCTGCGAGAGATAAATATGTAATCTATCTGGGTTTTCCTTGCACAACTTTCATATGTTATCAAATGACTGTCCTTTTTCCTATAGTAGGTGTTTAAGGCAAGGTCGAAGGCTTGCGCAAATTTCAGTACATGCTTTCCTTCATAATTTCTTTCTCCATATCCAAAACCACCATGATGCCTTTTGTAGCTATCTCTTGCTTTCCCCACATACGCATTTAAGTCACCACCAATTATGACTAGGTCATCCTTAGGATTTCCATTACAGCTTCATCGAGGATAGTTCAAAAATCATCTTCAACCCGTTTGAGGAGCATATACTGAAAGGATGTGTAGTATTGATTGACCAATGCAGAGTTTTATCTTCATTAGTCTATCACCTGTTGACTTCTACTACTGAGGAGGTTAAATATTGACTGAGGATGATGCCGACACCGTTCCTATTGCTAAAAATTCCATCATAGTACAATTTATACCCAAACTTGCTAACCTTGTCTTCTTTGCTTTGACCTTTATTTTACTTTTCACAGGATGAAGGTCTACACCCTGCGTGTCGCTTGGAGGGAACGCCCTAGCTTTCATATTCATATCTTTGTTAATTGCACGAGTATCCTTAGCACCCGGCTGTCCAAGCCTGTCGGTGACCGGGGTGTCATCTCTAAGCTCCGAAATTCATCTACCATATGTCTTTACACATCGAAGAAAAACCTGAAAATTTTTATGTTCCTTACCAGGATTGAACCTAACTTCTGTTTCCTAGCATACATCATAACCCACTAGGTTACCCCGGCGATGGCCAAATTAAATAATATCAAAAAAAATTGAATAAGCCATAAATATTTATTTGCAAAGTCTGCTCTGAAACAATTTGAACTGAATATCATAACACTTATTCCTTATCTACCAATTCCATCACCAGAACAGAAAACTTAAATACTAATAGATATAGCCCTAAATAACCTGTTTATTCGGTAGTAACAACACTTGTGGTTTCTTTAAACCTAAACCACTAAATATTTTCAAAACAATAGGGCAAAAGCTACGAATAGGTCACCAAAAGGAGGGGTTTTATATACGGCAAATAATATAAATCAAAATTTGCTGATCAAACTGTATTTCTATTTAAGTCATGTTGACTTAACTTAAATAATAGTTTTATTTTTTTAAAGTAAATTGATATCAATATAAAATATATTTTTAATGGACATAATTTGTTGATCAATGACATTTTTTTAAATTTTCCTTATAAAGCATTTAATTATTAAAGGTAAAAAAAATAAATAGAAGTCAAATGTGTACTCAAATAAATGGCATGCAAATGGAAATATAAATTTAATACGAAAAATTAAAAAAAAATAAAATATTCAATGATTAAAATTTTTCGTTCTTCATAAAGCTTTATCAAAATTTGACAAGGCGGTAAAAAAAATAGCTAAGGTGCTTACCCCATCGCAATGCATCATTTATGTGGTGATAGGCAAGATCATAATAAATAATTTCCAACAATCTACGAAGGCTTCAAGTTTTAACGTTTTGACATCTCAATACTAGGCTTAATAAAATAAATTATTATATGAAAATTGGGTTCATAACCAAATATTATATAGTAAATGTAAAACGAACCTAATATTTTTGACTAATTTTAATACCATCTGTTATAAACTATTCCTTGATCTTTAAATTTTTTTTAAAAATATTTAATTTTTGAATTAATATTGTATTTATTAAAGTTATAATATTGATTTTAACTTACATGACAGGAAATTTATTGGATTACCCATACAATTACTCAAATATAGTAGTTACAAAAGATTATCTTATTTATATGACCTATTTAATGCATTGAACAAAAAGAAATTTAAAGAAACAATCGTGATTTATCGTTATTTAAATTGCTTCCATATTTTTCTTAATTTTTGCTGCTGCAGAATATTACAGCCTCTAAAAAAATATATTAGGTTTTTTCCGGGTGGGACATTTTAATTATTTTAAAAAATATCAATTAATCAAGGTAAAATATTGGAAAATCTTATAATGGAGTATTCATAAATTTACTTTTCATATTTTAACTTTGTTTTGAAAAAATTTGCAATATACAACCGAAATTTTAAAAATATGATAAAAAATGAAAAACAGCGCCTGGCCAAAATAAATAAATTTAAACCGATCTCTGGGCTTGAAAATAAAAACAAATCCTAGGTGGGCCTAAAATATAACCACTAAATCGCCAAGTTCAAAATAGCCAAAATATCCAACAACATCCTCAAAAACGTCCTCAAAAAATGGCCGCTAAACAAATAATGGATTTTTGAATCTTACGATATTATTAATAATTATTTCTTTGAAAATATAAATAGTAAATGTGATGTGCCTCGCTAAAATTCAAATAATGGACTTCATCGAGAGAGAAGGGCAGCTATTATATATTCATCAGTCAGAATAAATTATTGAAATGGAAAAATTTTAAATCGCTTTAAAAAAATTAAAGCTCTGCCGATCCACAAATTTTTAACCGAATTCCTATATAACTATAAACTCGATCCGATAATTGATACCGATCCGATATTTACCATCCATCCTTGAACAAATATAATAAAAAACATTAATTTTTCATTTAAAAAAACCAGATAACTTTCACAATGATTAAGTGTAATTTTTTTTATTTTCCAAATGTTAATAACCACATTTAAAATATGAGAAATATTCATAGTTAAATATAGTGTTGTTAAACGCCTTACGATTAAAAAAAAGGTTAAATCAAGATTTTAGCCAAAATATTATTACGTATGCTTCGAAATTTGAGTAGATGTCCAAACCTTTCTACCATCTAAAGGTATTTTTTTGAATCAGCTACATATGAACCGCTAGATATATTAAAATCCTTTTCTTGTTGCAAATAATATAACATCATATTTTTCTTTTAAATAATTCGATTTTTTATAAACATACATAAATTTAATTTTGGTTCCTCTTATTAATTTATTATTAATATGAAATTAATTATGTATAATAAATAATATAATTATGTATAATAAATAATATAATTCTACATACAATTAGTATTGTTAAAAGGCTCGATTTGAGTCGATTTTTAAAAACGATTAACTCAATATTTTAGCCAAAAAAATATTGCCTAAGCCTCATGATTTCATTACAGATGTCCAAACGTGTCATCTCTGTGCAAAGTTTTCAGGCTTGCGTAATATTTTACTGGATAAAATAACGAATTAGCCGTTTTTAAAATTGACTCAAATCGAGCCGTTTAACAACACTATAAACAAAAACAATGTAAATATCGGATCGGGTTTTTAGAAAATATCGGCCCGATCCGATATTTTTTAAAAACATGATATATAGACCCTGATTTGATATTTAATATCGTCACAGCGATAAAAAAAAATTGAATCGATTTTATAAAAATATGTGTACAACATTGAAATTCTAAAAGTATTGCTCATACCGTTTGATACAAAAGACGTATCGGATTTAACAACTTTTTTAAATATTCTAACCCTTTATCACATAATGTATGTATTTGATACAAAAAAATTGTACCCTATTATATATTTATATTTCTAGATAATTGACAAAAAATTTTAAAAATATTTTGACCATAATAAGGTAAGTTACATTTATTACACATGTAAATAATAATATAATCCATTATATATTTTTTTTTTTTTTTTTTTTCCATAAGCTGATTTATTATATAATTTGTGTAAAATAATACATAGCGTTAAAATACTAAATTAAAATAATATAAAATAAAATAAAATAAAATAAATAAAATATTATATAAAAACCGAGGTGGGGCTACAAGTTCCCAAAAAACATGTGTAGTTATATTTTAAAATTATGATTTGGAGGTTTTGTTTTAAGAAATAAGATTCTTTAGGTTCTGATGTAAGGGCTCTTATCTTATCCCCTATATTTTTTAAAAACTTTAAAGTTCCACTTGGCATATGTCCAAGGGAAGAGATGACAATCGGTGTAAAAATATAATTTGTGAATTTGGAATATTTCATTGTTTTTTTTTCTCGGCTATATCAACCGGATTAGAATTTAAATTTTTTGGGAAAGAAGATACGCATGTGAAGTCCCAAATTAAGGATTTCCCTAAAGACCAAGGCACGGAAGTTAAACCATCTGGTCTTAAGCCATCATCTAACGATAAATTTGTAGGCTCCAGGATGTTTGGTATTCGGGCCCTGGTAAGAGAACGGCTAATAGCTAAATTAATTGCTGCATGCCTTGCATGCCTGCCTTGACTATATATACAATTTAGACCATGTCTCCCTTTGGAGTCAACTAATGTTTTACATTTGATGCATGTATGTGGTTGAACAATGTTACATCCAAGTCGATGGCCTATGGCAACTCTTAATTGTTCATCTGATAAGAGGTTACCTAGGTTACGACTTGGTAATGCTTCCAACCATTCATAGCCACTAGTACAGTCAGCATTCTGTAATAGTTGAATATACTCCAAAGGGGGGTTTGATGAGATTATTTTAAAAAATTTTTTAATTAAAGGTTCGAAAAGAGATTGGTGTGTTAAGATCGTGGGTAAGACAGCTTCAGGTGGAGCTAAAGATGTCCAGGCTGTCAAGGCTGAGTTTAAAAGGTTATCTTTAAAGAAGATATCATGGCGTTATTCATCAAACGCGATGCCAAAAATGAGGAAAGAGATAGAAGGTTTAAAGGATATAAATCTAAACCACCCATTTTCGAGGGTAATTGTGAGAAACCCCAATTAAAATCTTCCAATTTAATATTTAAAATATTTTCTAATAAACTTCTAAAAAATTCATGAACACGATTAATAATTTCATTATTTAAAAAAAAGGAAGAAGATCTAAAAATATGTACTATCTTTGGTAAAAATAAATATTTTTTTAAAAGAAAAAAGCTCTGGTGTGAAGGAATTTCGTTTAAAATAGTTTCGAGTCCTGATAAGCCTTCGAAAAATTTTTCCACGAACACCTCACAGTTGGAAAAACTGCTTAAAGGTGAACCTAGAAGATTAATTTCACTTTTTTTGATGATTTTAAACCCTTGGACTTTGAGAGTATTTGAATTTAAAAAGCATATTTCCGATTTAGCTTTATTTAGAGTAAGGCCTATGTTTAGAGAATTTTTCTCTATATAATCTATCGCTGCAAGAATATTTTTAGAAGGTCCGCAAATGGTACCATCATCTAGATACCATATGTTTAAATCTAAATTAAAAGAGGATTTTAGACAATGAACTAGGTTATGTATACCTAAACTAAAGATCAGAGGGCCCAAAGGGTCTCCTTGTTGAATACCCTCGTCAGAAGGAATTGTATATTCCCCGAATTTGAGAGGGGTTCTACAGCCATAAGACTGTTCAATAAATCTTGCATAAACTGGGAATTTTTCATAAAAAATGTTTAAAAATGTTTTTCTGGATAAAGAATTAAAAGCATTTTTAAAATCAAGCTTACAGACTACGGCGTCTGGAGGAGGATCTTCGATATATATGCGAAGAGAGTGAGCGGCTATTTCGCATCCCCCTTTAGTACCAAAGCCTAGTTGATATGTTTGGAACATTTTTGAAGCATCAGGTTTGATGCGCTCAACGATTATCTTAGCTAATAGTCTCCTAAAAAAAGACCCTATTGCGATTGGCCGAACTCCACCATCAGGCTTAGTAAAAGCAATTAATCTTGCGCCAAAAAGGATTTGGTGAATTTGACTGGGTAAATCATTGTTCAATATATTTTCACTAAGTATTACCAATGAATTTACAAATGTATCTTTATGAGGATTTTTAGGGTTAATTAAAAATTGGAAATAAGAGGGGCGAAAACCGTCAATTTGCATATGAAATAAAACAAAGAAATTAGCACGCATACCTCTAAATATGGCTAGGATGTTAGCCTATTTTTGAAACCATTTTTCGATCAGAATATGGTTTAAAATTATAAGAAAAACCACAAGGAATGTGGTAATGGGGTTTCATAGGCATATATTGCTTTAAATTTATATTGCGCGATTTAATTAATTTAGAAAATTTGCTTATCGATTGACAATTCGGTTTAGAAATTATGCATAACCTTCCATGAAAGTGTTTCAAAATGGTACTTTAAAATGCCTATTATGCCCTGATCCTGAAGCCCTTTATCAAATTATTATAACAATTTACTTCCTTTCTTTATTCTCTAAATAACATCATATACAAAAATAAATTGATTCCAAAATATTTCTTGCAATAGTTGCCAATTTTTAATTTTTCGTAATGGATAAAAATCTTAACCATTATGATTAATAAAAAGGTAAATATAGTATGCAATTTTATTTATGATATTTTTTTGCCTATTCAATCTTGCTTTCGATTTCATAATACCAATAACACTCTTATTTCGTTATTTTCTCAAACCATAAAAAAAACTTTTTTTCCCTGTTAGTATTGTTTATAATTATATGAATATTTTTTTACCATTATCAAATTTACTAAATGTGTTGTTTTATTATATTTTTTATATCTTTATTAAATTTTCGTAATTTGACTGATAATTGAAATAATACAACTTACAAAGTATTTTACGAATATATTATAAGTTTGTTATAAATTTGAATAATATTGAGCTATTAATTTTTTCAAACAACGCTAAAAATGAATTGGAAAAGAATTTCTTTGTATCTAATTTTAATAGTAATGATATTATAAATATATTATAAAATATAATATTTCATAGGTTGTTATGGTCACATCAATGATAATGGCTCAACCGGTTACTTATTACAATATTGGAGATACGGACATATATGATAGCCCTTATAATTTTTTCTTTGGACCTCCATCCCCAGGCTATCAGAGAATCAAGGATTTGTATGGATTAAATGAATTCGATAATTCACCCATTATATATAGGAATTTTCAAGAAGATGATTTGTATTAGTATTTACTTTTATTACATCTAATTGGATATTTTTATAAAAAAAATTAAAACATATCAAATAAAAATGTTTGTATGTATTTATAAAAAATAACATTAGTAAAAATTATATTGATTAATAAATAAAAATGATCCTTAAAATAAAGATCATAAGATAATAAATAACAAAGCGAAGACACTATTTTTTGATGGGCGTAATGTTAGCCTGCGTTAAACCAGGTTCATTGGCAAATAACTTTTTAAAATGTGGCAAGCAATAGACATCATCATCATGAGTTGCATAACTTTCAAGTCTAATATGTATTTTTTCAATTTTAACTTTAATAAAATGTTTACCTTAATGGGGTATTACATAATTTACATTTAAAGCAATTTTTGTGGATGGATCCTTTATTAAAATCCATTTTTTCCATTGTATATAATTTTCGACTACATAAATAGCATATTTCAGATTTTATATCAGATGTGATATTAATTTTAGGATCCTATCAAAATAAAACATTAGTAATATATTTAAAATGACAACTGTAAATCTTTTGATACAAGGATTTTCTTTAATCAACATGAGGGGTTCTTGAGGGATGGCTTCAAAATAACTAGCCAAATTTCTAGCGTTATCTTTAATTTGAAAGCTTACACCTATAATAAAAGGTAATCGTTATGTAAAGTATATCATAAGAACTTTCATCATTTGTGGTGGACGATTTAACATAATTTGGATCTTTTATAATATGTGGTTCATTTTCGTATACAACCTTTTCGGAATCTCTGGGAGGAGTGATTTCTCTTATTGCACGTTCTGAACTGTTATCTTGTTCATTTATACCCATTTCTAGGGCCTTAAATTTGGCTATTCTATTAAATTTTGTATAAGAATGTTAAAATATTAAATACTTATCTTTGGTGTTAACACAAAATGGTATCTCTTCCTTAATTGGATGTTGGTTATTTGAACAGGCGGTTCCTTGAACTATATCAGGCATTAAATTGTTTAAATTTTTGGTTCTCAATTCCAATATTTCATTAAAAACACCCTCTTTCTTATCGCGAGTCGGTGTATTTTCATTTTTGACATAATTCTCAAATCGCTCTTTAAAGAGAGTAGTTGCCCCCGCCGTGTCTTGTCTTAATTTAGACATTTCGGAGTCCAATTGACTCATTTCATCAGTATGTCTGACCAAATCAGGTCTAATGTCAATTCTTGGTTCTGAAACAAACTCTACTTTATCATCTTGATTCTCACCAATAAATATAGGATATTTTGATTTATATTCAAGGTTCTCACGTGCCGCATTCAATATTCTTTCTTTGATTAGATTTGTATCTAAAATAATATAAAAAATTTCCTTTTAATATTGTAAAATATAGTAATTATTTGTACTTGTTTTAAATTGACTAAATTCATTATTTATTAGCTCATTTTTATTGTCATCATTTTGTATGTTAGCACCACATTCTAACCTTTTCTTAAAACTTTCGATGAAATCTTTTCGATTCAAATCACTATTCCCCGTTTTCTCTACTTCAAAATCAAAGTCGATCGTCTTGGGTGTCATAGCTCTATCTTCAACATTATCTTATATTTAATAAAAGAAATTATTTTTAATATATAATAAAATTTCATATATAAATAAGGGGGTGAATTAAACATGTTAAATACGATTCAAGTAAAATTATAAATATTTTTCGAAAAATATTTTTTATTATGGTTTGATAATGAAATATAAATTTTAGTATAAATTTTTGCATAAAGATATGGTCATGAGTGTTATATAGGTGTAAAATATTGGATGGAAGTGTGATCTCAACTGTTCCTTGTCGCGAAACCTTTATTAGAATATGACAAAGACAATTCACTACTATATATTTGTTTGGAATAAAATGTGTTTAGCAGCAAGCATATAAACCCCCGTAAAAATGTTCCCCCAAAATTTACCTATTATACATATACACAGCTCCCCAGTTCGGTAGCCAAGAGAATTTTAAGATTTTGGCCAAAATCAAGATTTCATTAATAGATGTCCAAGCTTTTTTTGTAATGAGAAATATCTCCTGACTTGTGTAATATTTTTTGGCTAAAATATTGGGTTAGCCTAAAAATCGAGACGTTTAACAACACTACATTAAATATTGGCGCATCCCAGATATTCATTGCCTTTATAATTTTTTTGGTGTGATGCCAATTTTGTTCTTTAACCAAAATTAATTTTTTCACATTATCTACCAAACGGATCGAGACCCTAAAATGTAAATACGAATTAATTATTGATATAAAATTCAAAACATTATTTCCAGAAGTTTGGCTCACTTTAATTTAAGGATTATCATAATTTTTATTATATATATAATTTGGTTATTATTTTCATAAAAATAACGTTACCAAATAAACATTATATTATTATAATTCATATAAAAAATACATTGTTTATTTCGAATAAAATAAATCGATTGTATCATCATTGGGTATTTTAATTGACAATATTATCAACAATACCTAATCAAAATCACATTATGTTACTATAATTCTATAAAATATACATTGTTTATTTCGAATAACGATGATACCATCATTGGGTATTTTAATTGACAATATTATCAACAATACCTAATCAAAGGCAATGAACTTTTCTTGGCACCTATTTCGCGTAAATATGGCTTTATAGAACGAATGCTCACATGAGCAACTCATTTTTGGGGCTTTTAACCTGAAAATAATGATTAAAGGTAAATTTCTTGCTTAACATATGAAATTAGATGATACTATAAATTTATTTTATTATATTCACCAAAACCTGTATAGGCACCAATTCCCAGGCCCGGATTACCTTTTAATAAATTTTCGGATCAACCCTGGTTTCATATTTTTAAGTCTAGCCTTGATGTGTTAATAATTTTTTTTTGCTTAACATATGAAATTAGATGATAATATAGATTTCTTTTAATATATTCCCAAAACCTGCATAGGCGCCAATTCCCAGGCCACTTTAAAAATATTTTCGGCTTAACCCTGGTTTCATATTTTTAAGTCCGGCCCAGGTGTGTTAATAATTTTTTCTTACTGGGCATATTAAGGTTAATTATATGAAATCATTTAACATTTAATATCTAATACTTTTAAAATTATCTATATTTAAAAATAAGAGTAATTTCATTTGTGTTCATTTTTTGGCGATGTATTTTATATTTTGAATATTTGATTGACTAAAAACAGGGTCGTAGCCACGGGGACCCCTGAGGGACCAGCCCCTCTCAAAATTTTTTTTATTGGCCCCAGACCTAGCTTCCAGAAAAAATCTTTGGCCCCCATAAATTTTTCCGACCCCCAAAATTTAAAATTTTTTTTTGTAATTGATTATTTTTATATTTTTAAAATAAATTTTAAATATTTATTCAAAAAACATGTATTGTTTGTAAATTTCTTTCTATCCTGTTTTAATCCAATATTAAATCATCATTTATTCATATTATATCATTTTAATGTGTGTTTGTGTATAACATTATATAGGCGCTTACTTATAAGGTTTATATTGTACTTATTTCAATGATAATTATTTATTATGGTTCAATCACAATATTATTATCTTTTGAAGGTCTCTGATATAGATCTGGGTGCAAATCATAAAAAACCGGGATTTTCTGAAGCTAATCAAGTGATTACTCAAGGCTTGATATATATATATATATATATATATCAAATCTAAGGAAACAGATTGATACCGATTCGTAAATATTTATTAAAATAAAAAAGGTTCTTATTAAATTTTTATAAAATTTGGTAATTATTGTTCAGTGTTGCTAAACAGCTCGATTTGGGCCGATTTTTAAAAATGGTCCGATTAAGATCTTAGACAAAATAATATTATCTAAGCCCGATATACCCAGTTATTTAAAACATCGGTGAATATTTTATCATTATAAAGAAAATAGTGAGATAACAACAATTTTGGTAAGCCAACAAATTAACCGTAATCTAATCTTAAATCAAGATTTCATGATATTTCTTAACATACGGGATCTACATTTCCGTAGGATTGGGTAAACAAAAATTACGGATGCTGCAAATAAAGAAAACATAATTTATTCTTTCTGGACTATTTATAGCAATGTTTTCATAAACCATTCAAAAAGATGCTGAATTAAATAAAATTACAAAATTTGTATACAAAAAATACGCGATATACATCATCCAGATTCAAAACGAAGTAATATCTATTATGGTAGATATGGTGCTTGATTATATTTCAGATAAATATAACAAAAGTGAGATGCCTTTTTTTTGTCTTAAGGTTGATGTGACAAAAGATGCATCAGGTTGTGAAAACCTGAGAATAATTATATATTTTTTCTGGAGAAGTCCAAGAAAATTTAATAGGGATATTAATTTACAGTGTCTTTCTGTTGAAAGCATAATTGCATTTTAAAGCAACTTAATGAGTTAAATATTAATTCACGAATATGATAAACCCGGCATATGATGGTGCAAACGTTATGACTGGCCGAAATGGAGGAGTGCAAACCCTACTTCAAAAATAAATAAATAAATAAGTTCCTTTTATACATTGCTACAATCACATGTTGCATCTTGTGGCTCAAAATTGGCATAATAATATCGTTATCATTTCTAATTTTTTTAATTTGTTCAATGCATTGCATAATTTTTTAGGCGGTTTAACGTATCCTGTAAAGCAGGCCATACTCTTAAGAGACTTTTGTCCCCCTTTGATAGTGATTATTTTATATCAGTCAAAATGACCCGATTAGAATAATTATTAAACATAAATATGGAAACTTTACATCATGAAATGAAAATAGCTAAAGGATTATTAGCTTCAGAAGTTAAAGAAACACATAATTTTGAAAATATCCTAATATCATCATGCATTTAGAAATTGTATAAATGCTACTCAGCAGCCATCATCATTGGGGTACCAACGGCTTCTTGTGTGGCTTCTTTCTCTATAATAAAGAGAGTTCTATCGAGCACTAGAGGGTCGATGAAAGATCAAAGTAAGCAAAATTTAGTATTGATGGCTTATGAAAAAAAATTAACACAAAATTTATCCTTTAATTTATTTATGTTAAAATTTAAAAATAAAAATAGTCGTATTATAATATAGTATTATTTTGTATATTCATATTTAGTATTATTTTGTATTCATATAACATTAATAATTTTTTAATAAAAATAGCAAAAATTTTTTATGAATGCTTAATTATTTGTTTTATTTAAAAAAAATAGTGGCCCCCCTAAGTAAGCAGCTGGCCCCCCTAACAGAAAATTCCTGGCTACGGCCCTGACTAAAAATAAAATTTATAATTACTCTCTAAATTAATCTATTTTATACATAGCAGTGGCGTAGGCTAAAGTGAGGAGGGGGGGGGGGGGTGGGATGAAAAAAATGATGAGGTAAAATTTTTCTTTTAATACTTTTATATTTATATCAAGAAAGAAATTCGCTTACATTTTTTTAAACCACCCCCCCCTTAATTTTTTAATTTTATAAAATGACCAAGCAAATTTATTTTTCTATTTAAAAAAGTGCTTGATGTAATCTTAAAAATTTACGAATAACAATATTAAAGACATAAAAACCATGACGCTTTCCAAAGACGCTATGATTCGTATGGGATCGATGTTTTTTATTGATAAAAGTGCATTATTAATATTATATTACTTTTACTAAACAATGGCTCGATTTTGGCGCTTGAAGGTAAAAATCAGCTTTTATAACCCTTTTTAGTAAGCCTGGGATTTTATTCATAGATGGCAGAAGGTTTGGAGATATATTAATGAATTTTTGAGGCTTGCGAAATTTTACTTTGGCTAAAATCTTAATTTAAAATTATCAAAATAGAGCCGTTTAACAACATTAATCATTTTCAATGTTACACTAACCAGACCATCTTATATTGGTATCATATTTTCTAATATTATCACAATAACTATTTTATATGACCGTCACCGTCACCGCTACTAAATATAAATGTGTCAAGGCTACAACCACATCAAGTCTAATATTTCATGTGTTTTGGTGCTTCTAGATTTTTCGTTTATCTTTAATCCTGGTATCAAATTTAGTAATTTTAATATTTTTTAACTCTCATTTTTATTTATTCTGTTTCCAAGCGTTGAAGATACTTTGTAAGCATTATATGTTGTCTTAAGCTTTAAAATTAGTGATGACTGCGTCTTAATATCAGATTTATACCAAATTTTACATGATGCCAATCTTGACAATTTTTTTATATTTTGCCTGGCTCACTTCATACTTAGAGCGTGACGCCATAGTTTTCATAATTCAGTTTCTTTTCGTAGTTCTCATACTTGAGTGGGGATTTGAAAGTACGGCATGCATTAAATATTAGCGCACACCAGATACATACATAGTTTTTTATATTTTTCATTTTAGCACGATATCTATTTTAGCAATTTTCTTTATACTGTCTACCACACTGATTAAATTAATATACAATTATGATCTAAACATTGATAAAATTAACTGAATAAATGCTTTCATTCCCTTTTTAATTTTACAGGGTTTCCCATTCAAAAAAGGAAAAGTCCCAATCAAAAAAGGAAAAGTATCAATCATAAAAGGAAAAGTCTGATCAAAAAGGGAAAAGTGTCAATCATAAAAGGAAAAGGTTCAATGAAAAAAGGAAAGTCCGGTCAAAAAAGGAAAGGTGAATCAAAAAAGGAATGGTCATAAAGGTTTAGGAAAAAGTCTGATAAAATAAGGAAAAGTGTCAAACAAAAAATAGTCCAATCAAAAGAGGAAAAATGTCAATCAAAATAATTCCCATTTAAAAAAGGAAAATAGTTATTTTTTAAATTTTTTTTTAAAAAATTATAAATTTGTATTTTTCTTACTATATTTTTTCTCAATTAATTTTTCTTCTCATTTTTGATGATTCTTTTGCCTTTTTAAAAGGAATTTATATATTTTTTCTCTTATTTTTCTTCACTGCTTCTACTTTTTTATGTCATTTTTTAACAATTCTTTCCTCTTTTTTCATCCTACATAAAAATATTTTTATTTTTTAATATTTTTCTCCTTATATTGTAATCTTTTACATATATTTCTAACCTTTTCCATCTCTTTAAGTCATTTTTAATCTTTGTTTTTCCGATCTTTTCTCAATTTTTTTTATCTTCTCATTTCACTTTTTTAAAAATAATTTTATTATTTATTTTTTTAAGAATTTAAAAATGATTATATTTTATTAATTTACATATCGTTTGGTATTACAGTTCAAACTTATTACAATTTTAAAAAGGTACATTATAACTAAACGATTAATTTAATTTAGAAATTGTAATTAAATAATTTGATATGTAAACAATTCTATATAAAAAAAATTGTCTGCTAAAAATTTAGTGAAAATTAAATATAATTTCTAAAAAGATTATCAAATGAGAAAAAAAAATTGAGAAAAGATCAAAAATATAAGATTAAAAATGACTTAAAGAGATGAAAAGGTTAAAATGTATGTAAAAGATTACAATATAAGGAGAAAAAATCATAAAAAGTCAAAATATTGTTATGTAGGATGAAAAAAGAGGAAAGAATTGTTAAAAACTGAGATAAAAAATCGAGTAGAAGCAGTGAAGAAAAATAGCAGAATTTAAATTATTTTTAAAAAGACAAAAGAATATCAAAAATGAGAAGAAAAATAAATTGAGAAAAGATATAGTAAAAAAAACTTTCCTTTTTTGATCGGACATTTTCCTATTATGATTGACCCTTTTCCTTTTTTGATCGGATTTTTTCCTTTTATGATTGAAACTTTTCCTATTTTGATTGGGACTTTTCCTTTTTTAAATGGGAAACCCTGTAAGATTGTCCAAGATCTTGTTACTAATAATTTTTTCCTTTTGGTTAGTGATACAAAATCGCTCCACTCAAGCTGCCTCCAAAACGGCTTAGCCTAGTTTATAGCCGAAAAAATCGGCTCAGCTTTGGATCGCGAGCCTGAAAAATTGGCTCAGCCTTGGAGCGAGAGCCATATAATTTAATTTTGAGAGAATTGAGCAATTTTTATAGATGTTTTATTTGGAGATCAATTTTCAAGAGGCCATTCTTCTACAATTCAATGAGTTATACGTGGAATTATTCAAGACGCAATTTTTTAAAAATTACCTAAATTAATAAATTTTTGCCTTAAATTTGATAGCTCTTCTTGTCGGTTTCTTTTGATCAACTCCAGTTCCAACAGTTTTTCCTTATATTATATTACAAACAACAATTTATTAAATTAGCTTGGTAAAAGATTAGAAATTCATAAATATTTATATCCTTATGAAATCGAGAAGCATTTTATGATACAATAAAAATTAATGAAGGGATATAAACATTTTAAAAATATGTAATGTAATGAGATCTCTTAATTTTTCAAACATTTAATTTCTTAAAGCCAAATAGTAGAAAATGAGTATTTGCTATTTAGTTAATGATATTACTTAGCCTATGACCGCAAAATAATTAAATTATAATGATATTTGTGTATAAATAAATACAAATTTACGTTTTCGATTTGTTCTAATTTAGTTTGAGATGCCGAATCGACCGAGGAATCATCATGTAATCTTTATTTGTTAGGGAATATTCAAATTATAAAAATAGGTAAATTTAAAAAAGAATTTAGCTTTAAAATTGAAACGTAAAATTTTCAAAGGTTTGAATGTCATATTGACACAAAATATCACCTATAAAATGTCCCGCGGATATGATGTTCGCGGCCAAAATGTCCCGCAGACAATAACTCGGACTCCAAATTTGTTTCTAATGGCTTAAAAAATATCCCCCCCCCTCCTAAAATAAATAATTATATTAATATAAGACCCCAAAATAAACTCCCCCCCCCTCCACATCCCAACTGAAGCTATCAGGCAACGGGCAGGTGTGAGTTTTTTTTCTTTTGATTGAACCTTTTCTTATTTTTGATCGAACCTTTACTCGGATCTTTTCCTTTTTTAATCGGACTCTTTTAATTTTTTAATTGAAAACCTTGTATAAAGAAAATATTCTGAGAGTTTTGGAGATTTTATTTTATTGAGATTTGTCTTCAAGGGGTTCTGAAGGTTTCCGGATGCTATTTTTACGTAATAACCAGATATGATTTTTTAAAATACGCTTAATAATATATGACAACTAATATAGAAAAACTTGGACATTTTCAATTTGCGTATATCGGCTTTAAGTTCCTTGATTTCGGCCGATTGCTTTTTCTTGATTTCGACCTTTTCGATTTGACCAGATTCAAATCGAGCCCAAATATTGTGCAATTTTGATGATCTTTCCTCGGAATCATCCTCAAGGCCATAATCATTTTTTGATTCGTCGCTTATCACCGCAGTCATATTGTTTGTCTTATTTGACGAACCGTTGTTATAATCATTCATTTCTATTTTTAATTTTAGTAAAAACAAATTTTGTTATAGATTTTCTAAAGACATATATCATTATATGCAAATATTATCCAAAATCTTGATTAAGACTATATGATATTTTTTTGATAATATCTCTTTATTTTACAAAAATCTAGTTGGGAATCTTAATCTTTTTAAAAATGTAAGTGGAAATTTTGGTTTAAAAATAATTTGTCGGGTAACTCTCTAACCCTTGCCTCCCTTACTTCATTTACATTTGTCGGGTAACTCTCTAACCCTTGCCTCCCTTACTTCATTTACATTATTATTTATAGATAATTTATACCTCTAACTAGATATGTTTAATTTCCCAGGAAATAATAATCAGGAGAAATTTGGGGGAAACTAGGGAAGCAACGGGGAAAAACGGGAAATTTGCTTTTAAGTATATTTATAGGTTAATATTGATTATTTTCATGTTTTATTAAAAAATATAGATTATTCATAGTATTTAAACAAGTATAATATGATTTCAATTAATTTCATCATTTTCTTCATTTGAAGATTAAAACGATTCCAAATTAGAGCTTGATCATCTGTAATCGAACAATTTGTCATTTGCAGAAGTTGTTAACTGGAGATCTTCTTTTATACAAACCAGCATTTTTACCTTATCAATTTTCTTTAAATTTCGAAATAATTCAAGAAAATTTTGAATTTTACATATTTTATAAACCTTTTGGCATTTGCCATTAATTTTTAAGTGGAAATCTTTAATTTGCTATGGAAGTGTTAATTTTTGTGTTTCCTATTTCTTTAATAAATTAATTAGATATTCCCTTATATATATGGTCCCTGTAATTCATTTATAGAATATTCTGCTTGGCATTGCTATAATAAAATTTATAATGCATTCCCCTCTTATATTTGTCCACCCATCACTAATTTTATGTAATCTTTCGATTACTATTTTTTTAAAATCTTTTCACATTTATTGTTTAATTTATTTACTGAGTAAATATCTTGAAGGCATTTTAAATGCAGAAGCAAAATTTAAAGATTAAAATAATTTCGTCCAATACAAACATTGAGTTATGGAAAAGACATGTTGCAAATTCAATATCTAGTTTACTTTACATATATTAAATCGTTTTGTTGTTTTTTGGTAAATAATTAATTTAGTTTTGCAATTGTAGAATATTGATTTAGACGAGTATTGTAAAATTTAAATTTTTTTAATAAATTTAACTTCAATTTAATTAAATTCCTGTTACCTCATTAAAATTTTTATTAGTCTGTCTACAATCACATGACCTATCAGATTTGTTATAAAAAATATATTAACCCTACCTAATTCATACTCAAACCTTTAATTAACCATATACCCCAGGCATTTACGCAGGAATTCGCTGTAATAATAGGGAGAGGGGTATATTTTTTTTATAAAAATTATTATAGGAGTTATTTAAAAATATCTTGTTTCATAATATTAAGACTACTATAAAATATTGACAATTTCTAATACACAAATTTAAATATAAATTAATTAAAAGATATTCAATGTATACAATCGCGGAGTATGAATCAAGATAAAATAAAGGTCTGGAAGAAGAACTTAGCAAAAAAATAAATTTTTTAAGCATTTAAATTAAATTATATTTTTTTAAAAAAATGTAAGAAATATAGATTTGCACAAAAATATTAAGAATTATTGCATGTATATATATTTATAAAGTATTCATGAAAAAAATATGGTGTATTAAAAATGAGAAAAAATATTCTAAGAAGAAATTATAAATTTACAATGTTAAATGTAAAATTCAATCCTCTTTCGGGTTGAGCTTCAATGATTTCATAAGTGCTTGGTGTCAACTCCCTATGTATATTAAGAATGGCTAACTCATACAATCGATTTTAAGAGGTAGTATCAGTAATTTTGTTAAATGGCTCGATTTGAGCCGATTTTTAAAAACGGTTAACTCAATATTTTATCCAGAAAAATATACTCAAACCTGAAGATTTTGCTCATAGATGGCACAAAATTGTGAACATCTATTAGCGGAATCTCCCTTAGTAATATTTTTCCGGCTAAAATATTAAGTTAACCGTTTGTAAAAATTAGAATAAAAATCTAAGAATATTTTTTTTTCTCTATCAAGATTTGAAATAGTTTCGGAAAGATTCTGCGGGAATAATATTTGAAGATTTATAAGTGCCAACTGTAATCAAGAAACTTTTATTCATTTGAGTCATAAAAGTACCCAAGAGGGAGATAAAGAGATTTATTTATATTCTTCGACTGCCAAAACGATGGGCTGGTCTTGTTGCGAGTCGAGGTGGAAAAATCTTAAATTCATAGACCTCTACTTTTGCTCAACAATGACAGATAATTTATGAAATTTTTCATATACATTTACCCTAATTTTCATACGTTCCAATATAATGCTTTCGGCTTTTCTGATAGTTTCAATCAAATCGATGTCCTTTTTTTGAAATAATATACTTTAGTTTTGCAGTGAAAAAGTGTAAAATGATTTGGTAGGAAATTTTAAGATGGTAGATAAATTAAAGCCAAGTAAAATTTGAAATCGATATTAATTCATAAGCGTATTTATTTTTGCTATGAATGTGATAAATAAATGTAAATTGGATATATGCGATGTAGGTATCAGTAGGGGAGACCGGAGTAAAACGTTTAAACATCAACAAAACAGAGCAAATTATAGATTCATATGTCCCTCATCTGCAAAATAAAAAAACTGTAGCTCTCTAGCATAATACTTTAGGAGCTGTGATTAATTATATAAAATGATTTTTATAATAACCGGCAAATTTAATAAAGAAGGAGAATTTCTCTCTCTTCCTTGAACTACAATGCAATAAAGTATCTATAATCTTAAGAATCATTAATGATTCGAGTTATTCATTGATAAGGCTTAGGGGAAACAGGGGCGCAACGGCAAACATGACATCAATGCAAATGACCAGTGGCGTATTTCTCATGGGGGGAAGGAAATTTTAGAGAGTATTTCATCATATATTTTATTTATTATATAAAAATACTTTAGATTAATTAACATTCCTTTATTTGATCATGTATTTATTTTTATTATTTAAAATAAAACATAAGTAATTCTTATGCAAATAATGGTATTTAAAAAAATATGACTATCAAAATATTAATAATACACAGTACTTTGATTAAAATAATTTTAATTGCATAAATTTTAAGAGTTAATACAAAAATTATATAAAGGTTATAACTAAGAATTTATTTAAAGAAAAAATTTGATTATAATATTATATATTAAAACTAATATAATCATTTCAATTTTTTGATTTAAATTTAAAAAGAGAGGTCTACTTTTCACTGGGATTTTGCTTCATATCTAGAATAATCTCCTTATAAATATTTAATAAGGCTAATCCATTTTAACGTTTTACACTAGCGGTATTTTAAATTTTTAATCTTATTAAAGTTGAAAAAGACCGTTCATTAGTGCATGTACTAATTGGTAAGGTAGCTATAATTATAATGTTTTGATAGGCAAGGAATCTAAAGTGCAATTACACATGGAAAGGGCCTGCAGAGCATTTTTTGGTGTCAAAGAATACTTTATTCTGTCACGCTTTTTATACTAAAATTCAACATAAAAAAGTAACTTTTCATATGAGCCTAATAAAGCAACAGCGGAGATTTTCTTAATATCCTCTCGTGTTTCAAGTGTAATTAACAGTTTAGACTCAACCGGCAAAAGAAAATAAAATCTTTTAAAAATAATATTATGACTAATAAATCTTTCCTTTAATTGAAATAAAAATATATCAATAAGGGGAATAAAAATGTTTATTTCATAAAAATCCTCAATCGTAGATGCAACAATTTTTGAGAGACTGGATTGTTTAGAAACTACTTTAGGTTTAAAACATCCCAAGCATATTAGCAATCTCCTTTACTTTCTCATACATTTCATGAAATTTTTCATCCATATTCTCTTTGATATTTGTTAATATTTCAACAATATCCTTTGCTCTATTCATAACCTTCCTTAAATTCAAATCAATTTTTTGTAGCAATTTGTTAAAATCATATGTATAATTAAATAAAAAATAAACACAGATATTAAAAATCGTGGCTTAATAATAGTCTGCAAAACATTCTCAGCATCTGCTGAATCTTTTTCCTTGCTTGATATATAAAATTCAAGTGCTGTAAATACAACATTATACAATTTATTTAAAAAAATATAAAAATAATTAAATACTTGTAGATAAATTATTATTTAAAATAAATTAGACATAAATATAGTTGTTTTTTAAATTTCAAACATTTATTATAATTTTATAAATTTAAATAAAATTTTATTAAATATAAAAAAAATTTTTATGGGGTGGGGTTTGAACCAAAGTATGTTTGTTATGTTACTTAATAATCCATATTTACTCACACATATTAAAAATTTTCTCATTTACTTTTAAAAAATCAAAAAATAATGATTTTTAAACTAAGAATATTGCATGATATAATGTGATAATGTCACAGGCGTGTACTACTTACTTCCTTATATTTGATATTGGTTTCATATCAGTAATTAGGTTTTACCAGAGTTGTTAAAGTAGCGCGCTATCTTTTTTGGTAGCCATAGCTAATAGCGCGCTACTTTTTTTGTAATTATATTTAATTTTTAGCGCGCTACTTTTTTTGAAAGTAGCTTAAAAAATATAATGAATGTAAGTAAAACATGAAAATTTAAATATAATATCATAATTAATTATAGTTTTTATGATTTATTAATTGAAATATATTTTCAATTTGTATTATAAACCTAAATCCAGGCCATTGGCTAGACCCTAGGACTTTAAAAAGATAATCTGTAGCATTTCAAAAGGATATAGGATACCAGCATACGATGCACTTGCAAATAAAATTATTGACATCCACAAGTCTTTTAGGATTCATCAGAGACCTGCAGAGATACCATTTGTAAAGTCCGGCCCGGATTTTTTTTAAAATATATTTTATTTATTTTTGATT